CTTGCCAAGTGGTAGATCTGGTTGAGGACCGTCCCAAAAAATCACCCTCGCCACCCCCGCCCTCCCCCGGGCGCCAAAGGATGCCCGAGTACGTCGTGCACGCGGTCATGCTGCTCCTCGCAATGCTTGGGGGCGTTCGTGGCTTCGCCACATCCACGGACTTGGACACCCCTTGCTACCCGCCCCCGTCGCAGAACGGCTGTCACTGCTGGGACGACTCCTATTGCCTTTCGGGCAATTGTGTGGGGGACCCGGGACACTTTCCCGGCGCCTATTGCTGGCCTGCGTGAAGATCTCCGCACAACGCAGTGGATAGCCGCAACGGTTCAAGGTCCCGAAGAGCTGCAAGTGGCCCCAGGTGAACTGCAAGACCTCCAGATGTTGTCCATCGTCTCTTTCTTGTGATCGTGATGTTTGGCGGCAGGCTGTGTTTGACGTTTTCAGGTCGACGTCGTGTTTTAATTTATCTGGTTCTTAGAAAGGAAAGCGAGACCCCTGCCAGGGGTGCCATGCCGCACACATGCGGAATTGAGTATGTATCTTTGTTTTCTAATAATAGGCACGACCCGCGCCCGCACACACACACCGCCTCCGAGCCTCACAAAGCAAGCCGCCACGACCTGGCGAAGCGAGGTCACTCCCACGATGGAAACGGCACTGACGCCCGCCTGCACGGCTCGGCTCACCAGGGGGACGGCGCCTCGGAGCGCGTGCTCGTGCTCTGTCTTCATGAGGCGCGGGCGGAGGTTGAGCGCGAAGGCGGCGTGGAGGAGCTTGTCGATGCCAGCATGCTGAGGCCTCTCGAGCCGTTCGAAGGCAGCACGGCACGCCGCGGAGAGGAGTCCGCGGTCGACTACGCCGAGCGCTGCAAGGCCAATGGCAACGTCCTCTTCAAGCTGCGGGACCTCGGCGATTTAGAGATATTTTATAACAAAACCGCCCCGTTGGCTGAGTGTCTTGTCTTGTGGTTCTGTGTGTCGCTCCTGTGTGACCGTCATCGCCCGTCCTGCGTCCACCCATACCGCGTTGGTGTCCCAGTCGTTGGTCGGACTGTGTTTCGCCTTCCCATCAATCACTCCCTCGCACAACACTGGGCACAGGACTGGGCACGGGACTGGCGCGCACTGGCACTAACACAGGTACACCATTCTCGCGAGAAAAAGAATTTAAACAAAATAACTCTCTCTCACAGCAGACAAGGCTCGACACAGGTGCGAACTGGCGCGTGCTAGAAAGAATTTAGAGAAAATTGGCGCAATACGATAACGGGGCGCCCGCCGACGAGAGGGGAGGGGACGGTCGACTGGGCCGGTCGCTCGACCCGATTCTACTCTACTCTCAGTCTACCATTCATGGACAATAGTGTCTGTGACGGCGGTCACATTCACAGCGAGGTCAGTTCACAGCCGAGCAATTGATCCTGACACGCTCCACTTTCAGGGCTCGCCGCGGCTCGAGCAAGGTCAATGGCGATCGGCATCTTGCCAGCTGTGGCTTGCCCGTCTACCGCTACCGCGCCTTCAGATACAGTCGCCCCTCCCGCCCACGCCGGCGACTGTCTGAGGTGCAGTTGACATCTGGATGACTGCGCATAATGGGGTTGACCCGCCGCGCAGCAACCCGATGTTCACGATTTAGGTTTCCGTCGAGTGACGAGTCTCGTCCGAGACGTCTAGTCTCATCCCGCCTCGTGGCATACCTGTTCTAGTGTGTCATGGGTGTCCCAGTGGTGTTCTCGTGTGTGGGGGAGGCTCAGCAGCCCACCACAGGGAGGTTTCGTCAGTCTCGGCGTCGCATCTGCCGCGCCGAGATTCGACGGACCGAAGGGGTAGAGGCTAGCGCTCTCGGTCGAGAGAAGCGCATTACTCAAGACAATGATTACTACATCATGCACGACCTCGAGCGTGCAACGCCGCACAGTGCTCAGGATTCGAGCAGGTGCAGGCGAGTGGAGGGGCCCCTGGCAGAGCCGTCGACTTCAGCATACATACCCGCGCTGCAATAAGGTAAGATGGTGGGTGCTGATTCCCTCAGCTGCTCCGACGCGGCCGTGTTAGCAGCGGAGCGAGGCGAGGAGGAGGCGGTGCTGGCGTGGCTCGAGGGCGGCGGGCGGGTCAACGCGACGTACGAGAGAGGCGAGTCGAGTGGCATCACGCTGCTGATGAGCGCCGCCGCGGAGATGTGCTGATTGACTTGCAGGAGAGCGTGGTCGAGATGCTGATTCGGCACGGCGCGGACATCAACAAGCTGGACAGCAGAGGCAGCAACGCGCTGGTGCACGCCGCTTTTGGAGGCCACGAGCGGGTTGTCGACTTGCTCCTGCAGCGCGGTGCCGATGTCAACCTGCAGGGCAGCGACGGCGTCACCGCGCTGATGCTCGCCACCCGCAATGGCCACGAGCAGGTGGTCGAGCTGCTGCTGCGGCACGGCGCGGAGGTCAACCTGCAGAGCGACGGCGGCACCGCGCTGATGATCGCCGCCCTCTTCAACCACTCCGCCGTCCTGCGGCGCTTGCTACGGGCGGGCGCAGACGCGGCGGTGCGCAGTGAGAACGGCAAGACGGCGCTACAGTGGGCCAAGGAGCAGGGCCACGACGAGTGCGTCAAGGTCCTGGCTGAGGCGGCTGCGGCGGCGGAGGGCCGAGTAGGGGCGGGCGGCGCTTCCTCGGGCGCGGCAGCGGCAGCTGTGGACGCGCCGCTGCTCGGCCAGCGAGTCGTGCTCGGCGGGCTCTCTTCCCGCCCCGAGCTGAACGGGCAGCGGGGCGTGGCTCAGAGCTTCGAGGGCGGGCGGTATGCTGTGGCGCTCGAGGGCGGCGGCGAGAGCGTGCGGGTGCGGCCGGGTAATCTGTCGCCGGCTGCGGCGGAGCGGGCGTCGAGCGGTGCCGCGGCAGCCCCCGATGCGGTCATCGCAGCGGCTCATCGAGGCGAGGAGGCGGCGGTGCTGGCGTGGCTCGAGGGCGGAGGGCGGGCCGACGCGACGTACGAGAGACGAGGCGTGAGCGGCATCACGCTGCTGATGAGCGCCACCCGCTGCGGCCACGAGCGGGTGGTCGACTTGCTGCTGCAGCATGACGCGGAGGTCAACCTGCAGGACAGCACCGGCGGCACCGCGCTGATGTGCGCCGCCGGCAACGGCAACGAGCGGGTGGCCGATTTGCTGATTCGGCGCGGCGCTGACATCAACCTGCAGAGCAGCAACGGCTTCACCGCGCTGACGACCGCCGCCCTCTATAACCACCCCGCCGTCGTGCGGCGCTTGCTGCGGGCGGGCGCAAACGCGGCAGCACGCACTACGAGCGGCAAGACGGCGCGTCAGTGGGCCAAGGAGCAGGGCCACGCCGAGTGCGTCGAGGTGTTCCGGCAGCACGTCAAGGAGTCGGTCGTGGCGGGACGGCCCACGGCGACGGCAGTCGGCGGCGCAGGCGCAGGCGGCGCTTCCCCCGGCGGCGCTTCCTCGGCTGGATCGAGAGTCGCGAAGACGCTATCTCCAGCGGTGGCGGCGGGGCGGGTGTCGAGCGGTGTCGTGGAAGTCTCCGAAGAGGTCGTGGAAGCGGCTGAGCGAGGCGAGGAGGAGGCGGTGCTGGAGTGGCTCGACAGCGGCGGGCGGGCCGATGCGACGTACGAGAGAGGCGAGGTGAGTGGCATCACGCTACTGATGGGCGCCGCCGTGTACGGCCACGAGCGGGTGGTCGACTTGCTGCTGCGGTACGGGGCGAAGGTCGACCTGCAGGACAGCGACGGCGACACCGCGCTGACGCTAGCCGCCGGCCGAGGCCACGAGCGGGTGGTCCACGAGCGGGTGGTCGAGCTGCTGCTGCGGCGCGGGGCGAAGGTCAACCTGCGGGACAGCGACGGCGGCACGGCGCTCATGTTCGCCGCCCGCAACGGATGCGAGCGGGTGGTCGACCTGCTGATTCGGCACGGGGCAGAGGTTGACTTGCAGGAGAGCGGCGGCAAGGGCTGGACCGCGCTGATGTACGCCGCCTTCTTCAACCACCCCGCCGTCGTGCGGCGCTTGCTGCGGGCGGGCGCAGACGCGGCGCCTATTGTTGACGGCAAGACGGCGCTGCAGCTGGCCAAGGAGAAGGGCCACGACGAGTGCGTCAAGGTCCTGGCTGAGGCGGCGGCGGCGGCGGAGGGCCGAGTAGGGGCGGGCGGCGCTTCCTCGGGCGCGGCAGCGGCAGCTGTGGACGCGCCGCTGCTCGGCCAGCGAGTCGTGCTCGGCGGGCTCTCTTCCCGCCCCGAGCTGAACGGGCAGCGGGGCGTGGCTCAGAGCTTCGAGGGCGGGCGGTACGCTGTGGCGCTCGAGGGCGGCGGCGAGAGTGTGTGGGTGCGGCCGGGTAATCTGTCGCCGGCTGCGGCGGAGCGGGCGTCGAGCGGTGCCGCGGCAGCCCCCGATGCGGTCGTGGCAGCAGCTGGGCGAGGCGACGAGGCGGTGATACTGGAGTGGCTTGAGGGTGGCGGGCGGGCCGACGCGACGTACGAGAGAGACGGCGTGAGTGGCGTCACGCTGCTGATGGGCGCCGCCAACAACGGCCACGAGCGGGTGGTCGAGCTGCTGATACGGCACGGCGCGGAGGTCACCAAGCAGGACAGCAACAGCGCTCCCGCGCTGATGCACGCCGCCGGCAACGGCAACGAGCGGGTGGTCGATTTGCTGCTGCGGCGTGGGGCGGAGATCAACCTGCAGAATAGTAACGGCGGCACCGCGCTGATGGCCGCCGCCAACAACGGCCGGGAGCGGGTGGTCGATTTGCTGATACGGCGCGGCGCTGAGGTCAACCTGCAGGCCAGCGGCGGCTACACCGCGCTGATGTGCGCTGCCTTCTTCGGCCACCCCGCCGTCGTGCGGCGCTTGCTGCGGGCGGGCGCAGATGCTGCGGCGCGCAGTGCGAGCGGCAAGACGGCGCTGCAGTGGGCCAAGGAAGAGGGCCACGCCGAGTGCGTGCGCGCCCTCGAGGAACACTCGTCGACCGCAGCAGAGGCGGAGGGGGAGACGGCGGTCGCAGAATCAGCCGAACAGACCGCGGCGGCCGCACGCGAGGTGGCAGCGGCAGCGGAGGCGGCGGAGGCGCGCGATGCTGCCGAGGCTGCGCTGCGCGAGGCGGTGGAGGCGTGCGAGCGAGGCGACGCCGATCTCGAGGCGCTCAGGGCGGCGATCAATACGCATACCCAGGCCGCCGACGGCTCGGAGGCGCTGCGGGCGGCGCGGCGGCTGCGCGACGAGCTGGCGGAGCGAAAGGTCCGCGAGGCCAGGGCGCTGAAGCGGCAGCGGCAGAAGGAGGAGAAGGCGGCGGCGGCGGCAGCGCGGGCGGCGGAGCGGGCGGCGGAGCAGGCGGAGGAGGCGCGGGCGGCGGAGGAGGCGCGAGTGGCGGAGGAAGCGGATCGGGTGGTAGCAGAGGCTGCGGTGGCGCGGGCGGTGGAGGAGGCGGAGGCGGCGTCGCGCGCAAGGGAGGAGGCAGAGGCGAGGGCGAGGGAGGAGACGGCAAGAGAGAGGGAGGAGGCGAGGATGAGGGCGGAGGCGGAGGCGGAGGCGGCGGAGGCAGCGGCGGAGGCAGCGGCGGAGGCGGCGGCTGTAGAGGCGGCAGTGGCGGCCGTGGCGGCGGCGGAGGCAGCGGAGGCGGCGTCGAGTGTCGCCGCCCTCGCCGCCGCCGCCGCGCCGCCCGCCGCCGTCCCTCTCGACGAGCTCATCGCGGCGACCGACGGCTTTGCCGAGGCGCGCAAGGTGGGCGAGGGCGGCTTTGGGCGCGTCTACCGCTGCGACGCGCTGCCGTCGCTGCTGCGCGTCGCTTGCGGGTTCGCCGTCAAGACGGCGCTGGTCGGTGTCGGCGCCCAAGGCCTCGCCGAGCTGCAGAGCGAGGTGCGCACGCTCAGCACGGCGTGCCACCCGGGCCTGCTTCCTCTTCTCGGCGCTTGCTTGGCGCCAGCGAGAGCGTGCCTCGTCTACCCCCTCTGCCGCGGCGGCAGCCTCGAGGACCGCCTCTACCGCGCTCCAGCCGCGCTGCAGCGGCTCCGCATGCTCGGCTTCGAGACGGCGCCTCCGCCGCTCTCCTCCGCCGCACGGCTCCGCGTGCTGCGCGACGCCGCGAGCGCGCTGCATTACTTGCACACGCTCTCTCCGATGATCCTGCACCGCGACGTCTCGGCGGGCAACATCCTGCTCGACGAGCGCGGCAACGGCTACCTCGCCGACGTGGGCCTCGCGCGCGCGGCAGAGGCGACGGCCGGCAGCAGCCAGCAGGTGTCGCACCTGTCGACGCAGCGTATCTTTGGGAAGCCTGGCTACATGGACCCGATCATAACGCTGGACAACCAGGCTTCGCAGCTGACCGACGGTTTCGCGCTCGGCATCACGCTGCTCGTCGCCCTGACCGGCCGCGGCGCCGTCGGCCTCCTCAACGCGTGCGACGATGCGCTGGAGGAGCCCGACACGGCGGAGAGCATCGCGGCGTCCGACGCGGGCTGGTCGGCGGCGCAGGCCGAGGAGCTGGCGCGGCTGGTGGTCGGGCTGGCTCTCGTGAGGAAGAAGAAGCGGATGCCGCTCGCAGAGGCGCTGCCGCGGCTGGAGGCGCTAGTCGAAGCGGCGGGGGAGGTGGAGGAGACGGCTGGGGCCGAGGAGCGCCTGTGTGTCCTCTGCTGGGACGCGCCGCGCTCGGTCCGCTTTGCGTGCGGCCACGCGCTGTATTGCGAGACATGTGCGCCTCGCTTGCTGGAGCGCGACAGCAACTGCCCGGCCTGCCGCCAGCCGGCGCTGCCCATCGCCGCAACTGGGCGGCATGTGGCGGCGCAGACGACGTTTGTCCACCAGCCGCCCACTCGCACCGTGCCCCAGGCCCAGCCCGTGGGCGCCACGGCGACGGTCGGCAGGCGAGGGGGGAGAGGGGGGCGTGGACGTGGCGGGCGCGGTGGGCGGGGTGGGCGGGGCGCGGGGCGCGGCGGCTCTGCTTAGTGCCTTCTTTTCCCTCTGTTTGTCAACGACTGTAGTGTCGTGCGACGTGCGAGGGCGTTTTGACCGTTTAGTTCAAACTCTTTTTTATACGTTAGCTCGCCCTTTTCTTTCTTTCTTTCACGTCCGCCTCTGACTCGGCTCTCGCACAACACTAGGCCGTCGTGTTTTCAGTTTTGATCTCTCGGTCAGTGGGCGCCGGGATGACTCGGAACCCGAAAGTCCAACGCGGGCCTACGTTTTGCCGTGCTCCGCCGCTCGACGCCGCAGACCCACGCACCCCCCCGCGAGAGCCTCGGCCCTCCTCTCCGCTCCCCGCGCAGAGCGCCTCTCCTCTCGATCCTCCTCTCGCGCCTCCTCGCCCCCTCGGCCCTCGCCTCGCGCCCCCCTCGCGCAGCAAGCCTCACTCCGTCTTGAGGATGGCGGCGGGGTCGACGGCCGCCACCAAGTCCGCCAGCGCCGCCTCGACCTCCGCCGCCGACCCCGCCTCCGCCTCGAGCGTGACCTGTTCACCGCAGCGGTGTGAAAAGACGGGAAGTGTCTCGGAAGTGTCCGCCTCCGCCTCGAGCGTCACCAGCGTCCTCTCCAGCTGCGCCGCGTCCGCCCCGCCGCCGCCGCCCGCCGCCCCGCCCGCCCCCTCAGGCTGCGGCGGGAAGGAGGGGTAGGAGCCTACGTGCTGGGAAGACGCCGACATGAGGGCGGGAGTACGGCAGTGTGCAGAGTATTGACTGAGGGCTCGGGTCCACAGCTACAGCTGCATACGGCCGAGTAGAGTCGAGTGCGCGTCCTCTCGAGCGCTGGTGGGAAGACATGACTCCGCATTCCTCTTCTAGGCTGGCGAGCCGAGCTTCACGGCGGGGTGCGTCGCGGCGAGGCGGTTGATCAGCGGCGCCAGGTCGACCTAAGTGATCGTTGCCCGTCAGTAACGACGTCAGTCAGTATGTCTCAGTGCGAGACACGTCCCCACAGAGGACGGGGCACTGCACACGAGAGCGGTGTGTGCGTTCTCGGGCAAAGGTGTACTGCAGCATACCTCGGGCGTGGAGAGCGACGCGGAGCGCTTTAGCACCGGAGCGCCTTTAGCTCACGAGGGGGAGATTGGCCGAGATCGCGAGGTTCGCCGAGATGGTCCGAGAGCGGTGGCACGGGGGAGCGCCTCCGCTAACGAGGTGCGCGACGAGACCGTTCACCTGTTCACAGCTGGGGCCGTGAAGAGACGCTGTTCACAGGTGCGCGACACGCCCGTTCACCTTGGCGGCGAAGAAGGCAGGCACGCCAGGAAGCACAAACACGTGCCCCACCTGCAGCGACCCGGAAACAGAGTCACTTCATCACTAAACGTGTGGCGCACCTTCAGCGGCGGCCCCGTTGATTCGCTGAGTGAGCAGTGATGAACTGCTAATTAAACACGCGGCCCACCTGCAGCCATGGCCCCGAATTGAAGTACACGGGACGCCGCGTTGACTAGTTCATAAAACACGTGCCCCACCCGCAGCCAAGCCCGCAATTGATCCATTCATTGAGCACTAGGAGCTAATCATTAATCACGTGCCCCACCTGCGGCGGCGCCCTCCGTTGATTTTCACTGAACACTAAGAACAATCATTAATCACATGGCCCGCCTGCAGCAGTGGCCACTGCACCGCCCCGCTCGCCTCGCCCCGCGCGCCCGGCGCCGGCGGCAAATCGCGCAGCCGCGCGCCTGATCAAAGCAAAGGGAACACATCGAGCAGCTGTTCAGTGCCCCGGGGCTAGCGGCAAGTCGCGCAGCCGCGCGCCGGCGGGCAGCAGTGACATCTTGTCCACCACCTAGTTAATACTTAATTAGTTATCGATTACTAGTTATTAATTAGGCGGGCAGCAGCGACATCTTGTCCACAACCTCGTCGGCGAGCGGTCGGGCGTCGCTCGGCGACCCCTCGCCTAATTAGTAATTAATGGCGACTGGTAACTAATGAGGACCTCGATTGATTAGAGCGCCGCCCGGCGAGCCCTCGCCGCTCAGTCGCTCGCGAATGGCGCCTCGCATCGCATCGGAGGGAGCCAGTTGTGTGCCGAAGGCGGCGGCCACCGCCTTCAGCGTGACGTCGTCGCACGTTGGGCCGACGCCACCAGAGGTAATGACGAGGTCGTGAGTCGCCTGCGGAGGTGATTCCCACACTGACCACCGGGCAGCGCCTGGGCCCCACCCTCCGACAATCTCCGCCAATCTCGGACCCCAATCTCCGCCAATCTCCGCCACTCTCCGCCAATCTCGGACCCTAATCTCCGCCACTCTGGGACCCGATCTCGGGTCCCAATCTCCGAAATCTCCGACAATATCCGCCAATATCCGCCAATCTCAAGCCGATCTCGAGCCCAGATCGCGGCCATGATCTCGGCTGCCCAGATCTCTCGGCCAGATCCCGGCTAAATCTCGCCGCCAGCAGCCGCAGCTCCGCCTCAATCTCCGCCAAATCGTCCCCAACCACTGTCACGCGCCGCAACGCCACGGCGCCAGCTCGCAGCGCCGCCGCCGCCGCCTGGGGCGCTCACGCCGGCCGCCACTGAACCACTTGATGCGTCAACCCGCCCAGACTAGCCCTAAAAGGCTAGTGCATGCCTGGATGTTGACGTCGGCCGTGGCGCCGGAGAGGATCTCGTCGCCGACGACCAGCAGCGCCGCCTGGGTGTCTTGTCTTGCGGTTCTGTGTGTCGCTCCTGTGTGACCGTCACCTCCCGTCCCGCGTCCCCACCCATACCCCGCGTTGGTGTCCCAGTCGTTGGTCGGACTGTGCTTCGCCTTCCCATCTATCCATCGCCGCCTGTCCCCAGAGTGAACCAGCCGTCAGCTAGTAGTGAACCTCGGCCGCCCAAACACGACAAACAGCCGCCGCCGTCTTCGCGGCGAGCAGCTCCCCCGCCTCCGCCGCCGCCTCCGCCGCCGCCGCAGACACCTTGCCCGCGGCCGCGGGAGAAGCGATGTCAACTCAGTCACTAGCAGCCTCACCAACCGAACTAGTCTCCGCCCCTCCGGCGCCTTGGCCGCAGCGGCGGGAGAGGCTCCCCTCCCGCCGCCTCCGCCCTCGCCGCCTCCGCTCTCGCCTCCGCCGCTCTCGCCGCCGCCGCCGCCTCCGCTCTCGCCGCCGCCGCCTCCGCCTCCGCCGCCCGCCTTGCCGCCCTTGGCGGACCGGCCGGCCCGCTCCAGCGCGCCGTCGTCGAGCAGCCAGGCGGGGCGGTAGGAGCCTGCGTCGTGAAGTACGCCAGCCTCGGGGCGGGAAGGCGGTGTTGTGCAGTGTCTTCAGAGCACCGCGTGAGTACGAGGGAGGGAGGCGACTACAGTGGAGACGGCTGAATACGGCCGAATCCAGCCGAGTCCGCGTCCTCTCGAGCGCTGGCCGGGAGACAAGAGCGAATCTTCCGCCTCTAGGGGCAGCTGCCGTCAGGGAGGCGGAGGGCGGGGTTCGGCTCGGTGTCGGACTGCTTGCCAAGCGACGTGTACCCCTCCTACGTGCAGATTCCGCGAGATTACCCGAGATTCCCCGAGCGACGTGCACCCCTCCTACGTGCCGAAGACGGCCACCCTCGGCGCCGGAGCACGGTATCGTGCAGTGTCTTCAGAGCGCCGCCCGTGAGTACGAGGGGTCATTGAGACAACGACCACAGCTGAATACGGCCGAATCCAGGTGGGTGCGTGTCCTCTCGAGCGCTGGTTGGGGCACAAGAATGCGCATTCGGCTTCTAGGCACGAGATATGGGGAGATATGGGGAGATATGGGGAGATACGAGGAGATATGGGGAGATGTGGGGAGATATGGGGAGATATGGGGAGATACGAGGAGATATGGGGAGATATGGGGAGATTGATTCTAGGGTGCCCCCTCCTCGTAGAGCGAGCAAAACGGCAGTGCGAAGCCGCGCAGCAGCTGCCAGACGTGCGCGTAGCTCCAGCGCAGGACCTACGGTGTGAAGTCCCATACCTCCAGAGTAGCGAACCCAGTGTTGGTTCAGTCCCGTGGGTGGTGTGGTATCTGTGCAGCGTGGTGAGTATGCGCCGACATGAGGGGCGGGAGGACGGTCTTGTGCCGCGGCTTCAGAGCACCGCGTGAGTACGACGGGTGGGAGTACAGTGAATACAGCAGACTGCAGCGGCAAACAGCGGAGTACGTGTCTCTCGAGCGCTGGTTGGGAGGCAGGAATCCGTCTTCCGCTTCTAGGAGCAGCACCGGGTTCACGCGCATGAAAGGGGGCATCCAAGTGGAGGAGGGCTCGAAGGCGCCCTGCCCGGACCCGTTCGGGTCGCCCTCCCGCGTGCCAAGCACAAACGCCGCCGACCCGTGCTCCGCGATGCAGCTCTCCAGCCCGGCGGCAAAGCCTGCGGGGCTGAACCCACGGGGTTGAATACACCGACCTCGGGGCGGGGAAGATGGTCTTGTGCAGCTTTTTCTTAGCACCGCGTGAATACGAGGGAGGCGAATGCAGTGGGTACGGCTGAACACGGCCGAATACAGCTGAGTACGTGTCCTCCCGAGTGTGCTGGTTGGGAGACAAGAGTGCGTATTCGGCTTCTGGGCGGCAAAGCCATCCGAGTACGTGCAGAGCTCGAGGTCGTAGCGCTCGACGGCGTCGCGCACAAAGGCGTCGACCTCGGGGAACTCGTCCCGCTGCTCGAAGAAGATGACGCGCAGCCGCTCTCGCGGCCCGCCCGCCGCCTCGCTGTGCGCCGCGAGCGCCGCGCGCATCAAGTGCAAGATGGCGACGGCGTCCTTGCCGCCGTTGAAGCTGGTGACGACACGCGCCGGGCCGTACAGGCGCAGCGAGTGCGCGCACACCTCGAGGCCCTCCTTCAGCGCCCTGCCGAACTCGTCCTCAACCTCAGAGCGGAGCTTGAGCCGTCGGTGCAGCGCGAGGGCGTCGGCCGCGTCGGCCGCGTCGGCCTGCGCCGGCTGGGAAAGCGAGGACTGGTCGCACATCCTGGGCAGTGCGGTTCTGCTGCGGCGCAGCGGCAGCGGTGCGAGGGCGACGCCGAGGGTGTACAGCAGGCTCAGGAGCATCCGCAGCCCAAGGGCCCGGAGCGGCAAGTCGGGAGGCTTCCAAAACAAGAAAAACGCTTGCGCGACCGGACTGGCGCGCACTGATAGGACATGTTCGTGCAGCGTGTAACTGGGCAAGAGAGCACAGACCCATTCCTGTAGACTTTGCGACATTCCTACAAACCCACATGAGCCTAGGGGATATTGAGCGAGTCGTAGCAAGGCAAGGGAAGGGCACACACAAGGGAAGGGCTGTGCGAGGAGGAGAGAGAGAAAATAGACTGGGCGAAGGACTAGGCTAATGGTGGACGTGTATGCTCCACAGAAGCATTTCCCTTTCGCTACACAAATGACCTCACACGCGAACATCTATCTGATCCGGACGTCAATGTGGCCAAGTTTAGATTTCATTTTGCCCATGTGGCGGCTTGCTGGATGGCTACCTCCCACCCCGCCTGGGCCACAGTAGCATTTATCATACGTTTGTTCGTCTGGGCCGCCTGCACGACACTGGGCACGGTTGTAAAATTCTTCCCCTGGGGTGGCGTCACTCAGCGTGAGGACCTCTGCAAGTGAGGACCTCTGCAAAGTGAGGACCTCTCTGCAGTGAGGACCTTGTTGTGATTTTGCTGCGCTGGCACACGCATCGCGCTCACAGTCCATCTTTTTAGTTAGATGACATAAGAAAAACGGTAGAACTGCGGGAAATGATGCACAAATGATGTACAAATGGTAAGGCCCTCACCGCACTCTATGATTACTCTCCCATATAACAACAACCACACTCACTACAAATAAGCCACAAGTCCACTTACTGGAGTCACCGCGAGTGAGTGAGGTGGCACAAACGGTGTACGAATAGTAAGGCAATCAAGGGAGCGACCTCGCGCCCCTGAGTGTCTAGTGCCGTGCCTATAGTTGCCAAATGTCGAGTCAACTCTTTGTGTGCGCGTCTATGAGGACCTCCGGGTAAGTGAAAGCACAAGCATTGGTATCGAAGGCGACGGGAGGGGGACGGGGGACGGGGGGGGGGGGGGGGGGCCCCCTTCAGGCCGGGGCTGGGAATTTCGTCGTCCCTCAAGGCCTTAACGGGGCCCCCCGGGGGGTCCCCGTGCCGTAAAGGCCCCAAAATCCACTCCCTCAGCCCCTGGGGGGGTCACAAGGACCAGTCCACCAAGAATTTTACAACAAGGCGGTCGCACAGCACGATTCACGCGACAGACAAGGCGCGGGCGACGGCTCCCTCAGAAGCCGTTGCCCCCACCACAGGAGCAGTCACGCGACTCCCACTCCGGCGCCCGCCCCAGCGCCCCACCGCCCCACCACCAAGAATTGGCACGGGCTGCCAAATGCAGCGTTTGTCCGTTGATCTCCACACACCCGCTGTGTGGCCGTGTGGCGTGGTGTCGCCTGTGCAAATCCTTTACTCGACTCGATGGCTTGTGAATTTTTTTTAAATTCTTTTATCCTGCGCGCCAGTCTGGCGTGCGACCAATGCCCTCGCTCCTCCGAACCCACGGCCGCTTCCCCTACTCGGCCATCAACGCGCGTCCGCGCTACGCGTGGCCTGGTGGCAAGCGCCTCGCCGTTTACCTCGGGCTGAACCTCGAGCACTTTGCGTTTGGCGAGGGTCACGGTGGCGAGCTCGCGCCGTCGGGCAGGCCGGACGTGCTCAACTACTCGTGGCGCGAGTACGGCAACCGCGTTGGCGCGTGGCGGCTGCTCGACGAGTTCGAAGAGCTCCGTCTTCCTGTCTCGGTGCTGGCAAACTCGGAGATCGCTGGCCACTGCCCGGAGCTGCTCGCTGCACACATCGCACGTGGAGACGAGGTCGTCGGCCACGGCCGCACAAACGCGGAGCGGCAGGGCGACCTGGTCGAGAGGGACGAGGCGGCGCTCATCGCCGAGACGACGTCGACTCTCGCAGACGCGGCAGGCGCAACCCGCTCCTGGCAACTTGCCGAGACGACGGGAGATTGTGCGCGAGAGGCCGACACTTTAGCTACTCTCAGCTACTCTCAGCTACTCTCAGCCACTCTCGGCTGATCGCGGCTGATCTCGGCTAACCCTCGCTACTCACGGCTACTCTCAGCCACTCTCAGCTACTCTCGGCTGATCGCGGCTGATCTCGGCTAACCTCGGCTACTCTCGCGCAGGCGCCCCGCCCCGCGGCTGGCTGGGCCCTTGGATCTCGCAGAGCCACGTCTCGCCTGACCTGCTCGCCGAGGCCGGGTACGAGTACCTGCTGGACTGGTGACTCGAGATGCGCCGAGATGCGCCGAGATGCGCCGAGATGAGCCGAGATCAGCCATGAACCGAGATCAGCCGAGATCAGCCGAGATCGCCCCGGGCGCAGGTGCCACGACGACCAGCCAACGTGGATGAGCACGCGCGGCGGCGGCTCAATCTTGAGCCTCCCGTACCCTCAGGACACTTCCTAGACACTTCCTAGACACTTCCTAGAAGTGCCGAATCTTGAGCCTCCCGTACCCTCAGGAGCCCAGATCGCCCGAGATCGGGCGAGGCTGCCTGCGAATCACCCACGATCGCCTCACGGTCGAGGTCACCCGAGATCACGTTGCGTCATCCGACCATTTAGACCACCCGATATCACCCAAGATCACACGAGTTCAACGAGATCACCCGAGATCGCGCCGAGATCACTCGAGATCACACGAGATCACCACGCGCCTCAGGAGCTGAACGACATCCCGACGATCCTCGTCCGGCGTGCGTCCGCCTCGGAGTTCGCAGGCATGCTCGTCGATATCTCCTTACATCTCCCCACATCTCCCCACATCTCCCCACATCTCCCCGCACCTCGTCGGCGGCTTCGAAGTCACCCCAGGCTCGTGCTGGCAACGATTCAGGCATGATCGTGGACAACTTCGACGAGATGCGCGAGCAGAGCGAGCGGCGCGTCCAGCCGCTCTCGTGACTGGGATCGAGCGGGCCGAATGCTTTCTTTTTATGGGGTCGCAGCTGTCTTTGTTAGGCACGAGCAGCCGCTTGTGATGGGGATCGCGCTGCACGCGTACATCGTCGGGCAGCCTTTCCGGCTCAGGAAGCTGCGCCGCGCACTCGAGCACATCGCTGCGCACCGCGATGACGTCTGGCTGACGACGAGTGGGGAGATCGCGGCGCACGCGCGGACAGAGCTGGACAGGTTCGTTCACGGTGGTGTTTACGTTTCCGAGTAGTGGGCTTGGTGCAGCTCTATAGATTCGCGCCGCGGCCCGCTCCGCGCTCGGGCGGCGAACGAAGCGCATATCACAAACATGAAAGCGAGAGCCGTAGAGAGCACTCGCACCTCGAGCCTCGAGGTACACCTCTGGCGCATCTTTTTTATGTCCTAAATTATGTGCGCTCGCAGTCAGTGTCGTCATTTACGATTTTTTTTCGCGCGCGTTTGACTTTGAACTTGACCTTACTTACTTTGAGCTTTGGGCCTCTTTCCGATCTTTATTGCAGCTAGGTCCTCCAGCTCCACGCGGCGCAGCAACCCCAGCATTCTATCGACTCATCTGTCTCGGATGTGCGAAGCAAGTGTAATTCTCGCCCCACCCCAGCACCTGAGAGACCCACCTCCCCTTTCGCCCGGCGCCCCCTCCCCCAACCCACTCTCGCCACACGTACGTCATGCTCCCCAGCCATGCTCACGTACGTCATGCTCCGCAACCGCAGGCTCTGCTGCTCTCTGCCGTGCTCGCGCGGCGGTCCCGCCGGGCCCCGCGCCCTTGCCGCCCGGCCATGGCTGGAGAGGCTCAGTAGAGCCCGACGCCGCGCTCCTTGCACACGGCCACCAGCTCAGGCTGCTCCGTGTTGTGCACCCAGAGCGTCTGCACGCGAGGGGAGGTGCGATGAGCATTGGGTGGGGGAGGGGAGTGTGGCGAGGGGGGGCGTCTCGCGCCTTCAAGCTCGGAGCGGCCCCCTCCTTGAGGGCCGCGGCCAGCGCGTTGCAGCCCTCGTCGCCAATCTTGTTGCCGAAGAGAAGGAGCACCTCGAGCCGCGGCGCTGCCCCCTCCTTGCCGAGGGCGGCGGCCAGCGCCTTGCAGCCCTCGCCGCCAATCTCGTTGCTGCCGAGATCGAGCTTCTCGAGCCGCGGCGCTGCCCCCTCCTTGCCAAGGGCGGCGGCCAGCGCCTTGCAGCCCTCGTCGCCAACCTTGTTGTTGTAGAGATTGAGATACCCGAGCTGCGGCATTGCCCCGCTCGCGAGGACCTCCGCCAGCTGCGCCGCCTCCGCGTCGCCCCAGCCGAGGCCGTCGTAGTCCAGCTTGGTCGCCTTGCCAAACTGCTCCTCGAAGGCGGCCTCGTACAGCTGCTTCACCAGCGGCTTGTCGTCCTTGCCGTTGGTGAAGCTCTTCGTCTCCAGCTCCGCCGCGAACGCAGACGGCAGCAGCGGAGGGCGCCGGCCGCCGTCCTTGGTGCAGTCGAGCATGAGGCTGCGGTCGTCGTACTCCTTGCCGACGCGCATCTTGCCGAGGTCGAGGGAGAGGCTGCCGGCCTTGGTCAGGCTCGCCCAAGCGCTCTCGGTGGCGCACCAGCCGCGGTCAAAGTACTTGGCCACGTTGGTGCCCTCGGCCTGGTCCTCGGCCTTGTGGCCGTCCGGGAAGGAGGTCAGCCGCAGCACAATCGTGTGCGGGTGGGAGTAGAGCGTGCCGAGGCAGCCCAGCCCCTGCTTGAAGAGCGCGTTCTGCTCCTCGGTGCGCATGTCGCCGTTGGCGGGGTCGGGGTGCTGGTGCAGCGAGCCGAAGTCCCAAAAGACGCCGAGCCGCGATATGTACCGAGAGGTGAGCAGGGCCTTGAGCGCCCTTGCGACGCGGGCGAGGTTGGCTCCGCGCGGGTCGGGGTGGTCCTTGGTCAGCCACGGGTAGGACAGCGCGCCGACGGGGAGCACAAAGTCGGTCGCCTCGACGAGGTCGGCGAGGGAGAGGAAGGCCTCTTTGGGCAGCGCCTGGCGGTGAGTGAGGACGCCGCCCGTCTCGGCGTGGCTGATGATCCACTGCGCGTCGAGGAGGGCAACGGCGCTGCTGGCGAGGACCGGCTCCAGATCGTCGCCGCCGAACTTGCGCCACCGCTTCAGCTTCGTCTCGTCCACACCGAGATAGGTGGCAGAGGGGGGGGCTTTGCGGCGGTGGAGGCAGGGCAGCGACTTTGCGAAGCAGGCGCGCATCGACAGCATTGAGCGCGCGCGATTGCGGCGCCGGCTGGCGCCGGCGGGCGCTTAGTTCATGGAAGGGCGCCCTGGGTCTAAATTTAGTGCGGTGTGAAGTGTTTATGTACTGCATCTTTAGTGCACTTTAGCGCAAATTTAGCGCGAGTTCACTGCGACTTTACATCCAGATTTAGCGAGGTTTAGTGCGTCTTTAGTCCAGCCGCGCAGTAGGATCCAGCCGCAGCCCCTCGCTGGGCCTCCCTCCCCCTCTCCCCCTGCACGGTCTCGCGGCCAGACTGCCCCCCTAGATTTTAGGGTCTGAGAGTAGATTTTAGGGGAGTCTTCCAAAGCCACACAGAAGCCCCGTGGGGGGTCCCCTGACCACACAGGCAACACTAAATGCCCACGAGAGCTACCCGAAGATATCTGGAGCCGTCACTTTGAGTGTGGGCCGCGGCCGGGGCCCTGGCCTGTCAGTGCCGGCTGCGGCTCCGCGCAGCGCGGGCCGCGCCGCTAGAGACCCGCCGCGATACACCGTCGCTGCGTCTCATCCAAGCCAGACAGTAGGCCCAATAGGAACAAGAAGACAACTCTCACTTAAGCGGGACGGTGGCGCGTGGACCGCCGGGCGGGCGCTGTGCTGCTGGCGCTGCTGCTGCTGCTGCTGGCGCTGGCGCTGGTGCGGGCGATTGCTCGCGGCGGCGGCGCCGATCGCCGCGCCCTAGGGGGCCGCGCCGCGGCGCAGTCGGTGGCGCCTCCTCCCCCTCCTCCTCCTCCTCCTCCTCCTCCTCCCCCCCCGCATCATGCTTAAAGCCAACCCCATGTCGGCAGTCGGAGCCGAGGGCGAAGCCCGACGACGGTAGCGGCACGCAGATCTCACAGCTCGCAGCGCCACGAGAGAGAAGCGAGTCGGCGACGGCGAGCGAGAGCGCCGGAGCGACGCCAGAGAGGACGACACAGCGCGCGCCAAGGAGTGGGATACTGGCGTCGAGCACGGAAGCGGAGTGGAGGACGAGGAGGTAGAGAGGGAGCATGCAGACGGGGGCGGCGGCTTATCTCAGGCGGCCGACGGCCTGGCAGCATGAGAAGGAGATAGTAAAAAGAAACACGGTCCGGGCTGGTTGGGCTTCAGCAGGTCAATCGACCCACCCGGGGCCACTGTGCCATGGAGAGTGCGCCTCCCGATAGCTGCGCCGCGAAAGAGTCCAGCCCGGCAGAGGCGGCACGAGATGCCTCTCTGTCGCCTGCGCGTCCGTCCGCTGACGAGGTGACGGCGCCACCGCCAAGCGCGGCGGAGGTGGTGTTGAGGGCGCAGGACGCGCTGGAGGACATGATCGTCTA